TAGCGTACATATGTCTGATTAATATCCCCTTGCTAGACGGATTATCAGTACTGGTTGATATTTTAATACTGGAATTTTAAGAGTGTGTACTTATGAATGAACTACGATTTTCCAAGTAGCATCAACGACATTGTCTGATTCCAAGCTAAATCCTGATTCACGATGGGAGTCATTCCATCAATAAAATTATTTCCAAACTTAATTTTTAAAGGAGTGCAAGACCTCAATTCTCTGTGAGCAAGTTTCCTACCAAATCTGAACCTTAATTGACACCTTAACTTCCCCAGCTGTCCCATTATCCTGCCCGAATTGCCATAAATGTACGACGAGAGAGTCGTTACCGAGAGATTTAACGCGATACAATTCCACCAAACAATCGGAAACATGAGATATTGTGGCATCTGGACGACTGAATGTCTCGAAATTGTCACGAAACCTGCAAATATTTGGACAGAAGTCCAGTTAAGTAACATAATTGGGAGTAAGGCGGCGGAGAAAATTGCGTTTAACATGCGTTCAACGATCCAGATTTTTCTGTAGAGTCTTATGCACGGCATCAGCCTCAATCTTGGTGAAGGGGAACGAGTCAAGTGTCTGAAACAGAACAATTTCACATACTTAATATAAATTTTGTACTTACAATGGAGGTCTCCCAGCGTATATACTTAAATATGCTTCCAGATATTTCCCGATATTTCCCGATGTTTCCCGTTTGTTAAAAAAGTTGGAAGAAATAAACTTCTTGTAAATAAGACGTCGAAACGCACATAAGGAAGTAGCTTCAGACTACTTCACTCCAACCACTCCCAGGACGTCGCGAAAATACTCAATTTCACTTAATTTTATCCATGAATTCAATTTTTGTTAGAATCTCATTTTGCCCCGACCACACCCCCTGGCACCCAGGGGGTGTAGTCCGACTGGCCCCAAAAGCTGACAGGATCCTCCCCCTATGGTCCTATGTATGATGGCGAAGACCGATTTCGATAATCTCGATCCGTTCTCCTATTATAATGCTGGCAGACAGACAGACGGACAGACAGACGGACAGACAGACGGACAGACAGACGCACAGACAGACGGACAGACAGACGGACAGACAGACGCACAGACAGACGGACAGACAGACAGACGAACAGACAGACAGACAGACGCACAGACAAAATCTTCGCTTAAGGAGCGGAAGCTACTTAATAATTTTTTATGTCGTGTAAAATAACTCTAGACAGTCTTTCAAATTTTATTGTCTATATTTTCGTTCTGAACAGACTGCGTCTGAAGTATTAAAAATACGATATCTGGTAACACCGTGGGCTTTACGGAGATATTTGCATTCAAGTCGGAGAAAACGTGTCCCAAAAAGGTGTACACTTTTTAAATTTCCTCTCGTTTACGTATCCTCGTGTGCAAATATTTCTGACCAACGTGACCATTGTAAAATAATTTTTTTCTGCAAATGCCACATTACTTAGATATGTGATCGATGGATACTATTTTGGTCAAGATCGGAGAGCATACGCTGGAAAACCTTCGTTCTAAGAATTAGACAATTGTTGGAAAGTTTATAAATATTTGGCACTGACTTGCTGACTACATCCAAATATTCGAGAATAGAAGTGACACAAATTCCAAAGAACATGGCCATGAAGAAGGCTCCTCCCGCATTCAATAGAAAGAAGCACCAAAGATCGATTAAGGGAATTAAGACCCTTAGGAGCTTCCCCATGGGAACAATTGGCCCCCAGACTCCAGCCTTACAAAGGGATGTCATGGATCCAAGAAATGGAGGCTGGCATGGGTTGGCAACAGTGGCCGCGGAGGATGATTTTGACCGTGGGGACATCTTGACGAAAAAAAGTCGCAAAAATAGCTTCTTAATTTCACAATATACTGACTGTTAGCCCGCTTTTCTTTTACATATTAACGTCGAATTTCTTGGGTGAAGCCTTCAACATCAAGAGTTCGATGGTGAATTTTATAGATACTTTTGGTTTAATCCGCCTCTAATTGGCATTAGGATGCAGTTGATATTTCCAAGAATCGTAAACTTGACTTGTCTGGAAAAGGTTTCCAAAATCGCACCTGGTTTTTGAAGCGCTCCGTGTAGGAATAGTTGTTCCAAAGTATTGATTAAGAAAACTTACGCTTGAATCAAATACATAACTTGATCAGCTTCTTATGTATAAATATTTCTGCAATATTCTATTCTTAGTTCTAAAGTTTCCGGGATATAATCCTGCTTTTGAGTAAGAATTAAATGATTCGACAAGCAGATCCGCCGACTATTTCAAAAGTACAAATACTTAATTGGATTATGTTCCCCACATGAAACGAATTAAAACTTAGCATTTTTTCGGGCGCCAAAATTTCCTTTGGGGGGTTATGAGAATAATGGGAGATAAATGTGGTGCACATAGGGCACAGCATATCTATGAAATGGGTTGATGAAATTTCAAAAACAAAATTTTGTTACACTCTCTGGATCAGTACCCCGATAGGTTTTTCGAACTGAGGTGGAATTCCGACTTTGAGGGGTTTTTCACAGCGACGCAAAATTGACTCAGAAATTAATTTTTCGCTATAACGAAAAAGTATGACGAAATGTTCATACATTAGCTTTTCACCAATTTTTACAACATTGCAAATTATTAGTAGTAGAATAAAGGTTAAATTACCCAGAAAGTCGAAATCGACCTGCGTGACCTTTTTCGGGGATCGAAAGGTCACAATGTCAAAGGTCACATAGCCACATAAATGGGGTATCGTTGGAAAGGTATTGGCGAGAGGATTCAGAATATGTATACTTTGTGGGGTCTGAAACCACTCCCTGCAAACATAGAGCCAAAAGAATATTTTTGAGTTTTTCCCATGCATGCTTCCGTGTTAGCTCCCAATCCACTGCTGTGTTAAATTCTGGACAACTGCCGATTTTCGTTCTTTGGCCTCTAGACTTGCAGGGAGTGGTTTCAGACCCCACAAAGTATACATATTCTGAATCCCCTCGCCAATACCTTTCCAACGATACCCCATTTATGGGGTAATGTGACCTTTGACATTGTGACCTTTCGATCCCCGAAAAAGGTCACGCATGTCGATTTCGACTTTCTTTGTAATTTAACCTTTATTCTACTACTAATAATTTGCAATGTAGTAAAAATTGGTGAAAAGCTAATGTATGAACATTTCGTCATACTTTTTCGTTATAGCGAAAAATTAATTTCTGAGTCAATTTTGCGTCGCTGTGAAAAGCCCCTCAAAGTCGGAATTCCACCTCAGTTCGAAAAACCTATGGGGGTACTGATCCATAGAGTGTAAAAAAATTTTGTTTTTGAAATTTCATCAACCCATTTCATAGATATGCTGTGCCCTATGTGCACCACATTTATCTCCCATTATTCTCATAACCCCCCAAAGGAAATTTTGGCGCCCGAAAAAATTGCTAAGTTTTAATTCGTTTCATGTGGGGAACATAATCCAATAGAGTATTTGTACTTTTGAAATAGTCGGCGGATCTGCTTGTCGAATCATTTAATTCTTACTCTTTTCTCTCTTCCGTTGACCAGATCAAGTTTGCGACCCTGGTGTCATATTGTAGCTTCTTATAACATGTTTCCGAGCTTTTCGAGGAGGATTATTTTTTTCAGTGCAATTTATTACAATATTTTTTTACCGAAGTTTTTTTTTGCAATGAGTGTCCCCAAGAGTGTCCCCATAAATGGTAAGCTCGGACTCCAATTCTTTGAGTTAGGTCAAGGATAATCAACACTTTTGTGTTTGTAAGAATATTATGTAACACTTGCCATCAAAGTATTTTAGCAGACAATTTTATGTGTATAAAATTGAAAATTATCAATATTAAATACACAAGCCATGCAGGTTTTAGTCTTCGAAAATGATGCCGGCTAACCCTCAGTATTTAACCCCAATCAATCCTAGAACACTATTTTCAGTTTATTTTAGTGGATAAATTTTTGCTAGCTATTCCAGAAACGTTTTGAAGACAAATAAAGTGGCACGCCGACATTATTAGTGTCTGAAAATTATCACGCAGAAATGGTACGGACCTGACTGTATCGTGGAGCTCTACATAGGTTCAAGCCATAGTTCATGCAATGCACGTACAGTGCACAAGACTCAAGATTTTGAATACAACTTTGGACTCCAAAATATTTTCCCGACATATTTCTTGCTCCGTCATAACATTACCCCTTAAGTTTGAGAAATCCATCCCAAACCTTCGTACGACATCTTTAATCCGTTCAAAATGTTTTCACCAGTGGTAGAATTAATTTGATGTAATCCTAAGAAATACTCCTCTGGAACAATATTGTCATCAAAAATTCGGATGAAACGTCTAACGTTTTTTAGTGGATACATCTGTCATCTCATCCATAATCAGGAACTTTGCATTTTCTTTGTTGTTACCCGCGTAAAACGGGTCGGAATTAATCGTACCATCTCATTCTAAATGTCATGCGATGTAGCAGGTTTGCTCCTCTTCAGCCAAGTTTGGAGCTCCAGAATTTCTTCCATGCGAACCTTAAGTAATTCAATAAAATTCCCGTGGCACTTCCGTGTCCTTCAAGAGCTATAACGTGCTTGCCAAGGAGCGAAATCGTCGTCAATATCGCTCGTAAACAATTTCCTACTTCTTGAAAGTCTGTACATTCGAAAAACATCTGACGCCATGAATCAAGACCACGGCATGAACCTGAATCCTATCTGGTCCTCACTAATGTTACCCCTGATCAAGCGCCCCTGACAACGAAACCGTTTAGGAATAACAAAAAATAACTTGTGATAACTTAAAGTGAAATCATTCTTGTTTTTCAATTTCTAAAATTTTCCCTGAAGATGGTACAAGTGTAGTACCGAAAGCTCGGCATAAATATATCTGCATTAAAACAACCATGTCGCCCGATAACTCTCTTTCTAATTTTGAATATCATGGTTGGAAGGATTTAAAAATCTTTATAACCAGACGGTTCGGCACGTCTATAATGAACTGCATCAAACTTTTGGAGAAAGAAGAACAACGAACGACTAAACTGAACGGCATTGTATTCCTTAAAAGATGCCGGGCAAACAACCTGACCCCACAAGGAATGAAGATAAAAAACCATTGGTGCCATATTCCTGGATCCACCGATTTACTCAAAAAAGCAGAACAAACCTTGATGAAACTGCAAATCCACTTCAATTTTGTTGAATTAGAGAAACTGAGAAAATCGATCTCAACTAAACAACAACAACTCACAACTCTTCCTCCAACTGTAAAGGAGAAAGTATCAAAATACATGCGTGATGATAAAATGGTTTTCAATCTACATACCAAGACCTTACATACAAAGAAATTTGACCGTTTACTGAGAGGAACTATCACATCAAATCCCACCAGATATCAAACCCCTCCAAACCAAGTAGCTACCCACCATGACTTCACAAAAAGTATACGTAATCTATCTCATCGCACGCTAACAGAGGATGAAACAAAGGCCCTTCAACTTGGTCTAAACTACGCTCTCCCGTATTTCAAACACAAGGATCTCATTATTGAAGCAGGCATAAATATAGAACTATGCTTAAGTGACTTTGAAATTACTGAGGTGCACAGAAACCAAGTTCGGTCCGGAATTTCCAGAATATTACACTCAGAGATAAATCAGCCAGACCAAATCTCCAAAAATTCTGAGTGGCTGAAACCAATATGCAAAAATCTCAAAGAAGACAAAACTATCACTATCGTTCCTGCAGACAAAGGAAATATGACAGTAATCATGTCCACAACCCAATACCAGGAGAAAATTCAAGAACTTTTGGATGACCCTAATTATACCATCATTCCCAACGACCCTACAAAATCAGTAGAACAAGAAATTCACACCTTAGCGAAGAATTTGTTCAAGCTAAAAAGAATTGACAAAAGTCAATACCAACACATTTCCCCTTCCAACTCCAAGATCCCCAAATTCTATGGATTACCCAAAATTCATAAGGATGGTATGCCATTTCGTCCCATTGTGGATTTCCGAAATTCACCCTCGTACAACCTGGCTCATTTCCTCAACAAGATACTAAAATGTGTCACATCAAAGTTCCCCACGACGCTAAAAAACTCCTACGAGTTTGCAGATAAAATCAAGAATTTTATTGTCCCACCCAACCATGAATTGGTCTCATTTGACGTCACTTCACTTTTCACCCGTGTTCCAATACAACAAACCCTGGATTATATCAAGAAACAACTGGACTCCTGTAATGATTGGAAAACTGTTACTAAACTAACCTCGGAAGAAGTTATGAAATTAATCAGAGTGACGGTCAACTCCAACTACTTTACAAGGAATGGAAAAATATATAAGCAAAATGAGGGGACACCTATGGGAAGCCCAATTTCACCCATCTTTGCAGAATTTTGCCTACAAGAACTAGAGGAACAATTAATCTTAAATAATCCAGACATTCCATTTTACAAAAGATTTGTGGATGACTCTAACGGCTGCATCAAAATTGGCAAGAAAGATAAAATCCTCCAATCTCTTAACAGTTTTCACCCCTGTATCCAGTTTACATGTGAAACCGAAGAAAATTGTAAACTACCATTTTTGGATGTTCTAATATCCAGAGATGAGGATGGAGTAATTCATAGACAAGTTTATAGAAAACCGACTCATACGGGGAGATACCTCAACTATAATTCATACCACCATCCATCCCAAAAGTTGGCCGTGATAGATGCCCTCAGTTATCGAGCTTTGAAAATATGCGATGATGAATATTTAGAAGACGAACTAAAATCAATAACAAGCTCTTTAATTGCAAACGGATACCCCAAGAACTTGATCAAAGACAGAATAGAAAAAATGAAGACTAAATTTTCAACCCAACTTACCAGCCATGCAAATCAAGACACAGAGGCAAAATCACCCAGAATAATCCTACCGTACATGGGACCACTTACACACCGATTAACCGCCTACTTGCGAAAGAATCTAAACTGCGAGTTTGGATACTTAACGGCGAAGAAGATGAAGCAAATAATTTGCTCATACAAAGAAAATCCGCCCCCAGATAAAGTAGGAATACATAAAATTAAATGCTCTTTCCCTTCACTTTATATAGGTGAAACAAGCCGCCCTCTTAATCAACGAGTAAAAGAACATCTCAACGACATTAAGAAGAAAAACGTAAAATCAGCGGTGGCGCTACACATACTGGAGAATCCCGACCACAAAATCGACCTGGACTCAGCAAGTCTAATTCTACCCGAACGGAGAAATTTTCACAGAAAATTTCTTGAAAGTTTGTACATTCGAAACACATCTGACGCCATGAATCAAGACCACGGCATGAACCTGAATCCTATCTGGTCCTCACTAATGTTACCCCTGATCAAGCGCCCCTGACAACGAAACCGTTTAGGAATAACAAAAAATAACTTGTGATAACTTAAAGTGAAATCATTCTTGTTTTTCAATTTCTAAAATTTTCCCTGAAGATGGTACAAGTGTAGTACCGAAAGCTCGGCATAAATATATCTGCATTAAAACAACCATGTCGCCCGATAACTCTCTTTCTAATTTCCTACTTATCTGAGAATTTATAAGTGACGAAATTTGCTTTGGTATTCTCTGTCGATGCACCAATTTGATTGTGGCCGTTCGATGTATATCGCTCTTCTCACCTTTTTCCTGTTCCCGAACCCTTCCACAATTGATGATTCATTCCTAATCGTATTGAAATCTGATCTCCGAAGCTTCAATGCAAACCGAGCATTTTATTTTGTCATCTCCATTGCTAACTAAAATCCATGGGTGTTCGGACAACCGTGTTTCTTGTAAATTATAATTTCGACCTCCGTTGAGGTATGGCTTGGGAATTTTTTGACATGGCGTCGTGAAGCTAGTCAATTTTTCAATTACAAAAAAATGGAATTTTACTTTTTTACTTTTCATTTAAAAAAAATTGCAAGTTTGACACATTTTGAGTTTTTGGAGGTTGTGGATGGCAGGTAGATATGTAATAGTCGGCAGCCATAACAACAAGGTCGAACATTGGACTGGAGATGAATCATCTCAGATGATGTTTATTGGGCTACGGAATTTTCTGCCATTAACTTATTATTTCTCCATTAACCCGGACATGAGAGGCAATTTATCCTCTTTACTATGTAATTAGTGTATTTGCATCAGTATTTATTGAATTATCACACAAAGTATAACTAACCCGGTAATAATTTGGGAGGGGGGGCGAATAATCGCCAGCAAAACATGCAGTTCTTTTGATTTTTTAGTGAAAAATTCGTCACAACCTGCTTCGACCCTGATTAACGACTTAAAATTCACATTTCAAACAATTGTGCATATTCCCACTGACTAAAACTCATTCCTAACAGATAAGATGTTTTAATTAAATATTTGCATGCAATTCTTAAAAATTTTAAGAGAACAGTTTGTCTTAGTGCCAGTTATTTACATATGTAGAGCCAAAACAATTTATCACACTTAATCGACACCTATAAGTCTTAAAAGTTCATGGGGACAAATAAGCTATACTATATACTGTACCAACAAGTTTGTTGATTATTACTATTTTAAATGCCTATGCATTTTTGTTCCACTCATGTAATTATAAACATTGCTCGTATGTATGGATCATATGTATGTAGTCTTTTTTATAATGTTTCGAACATTATGTCCAACAAATTTACATATCAAATAGGGGAATCAATTAGAGGAATAATTATGAATATCAACATAATATTCTGTTCTAGTCTTCTGAGATCTATGTTTTTTACATTTGTACTTGAACCCCTCGAGACCGTGGGGACAAATGCATTGGCTGTCCCCACGGCAAAATTTCCGTGGGGACATTGTCCCCATGTCCCCACGCTTCCGCGGCCACTGGTTGGCAACGACGAAACCAAAAGCCAAAAACGGGCATACAATCAAAGTTACGGACAGAATTTGACAAACTAGCACCATTCCTTGCGTCGAGATCCTTGACAAACGTTTCCAAAATATTAGTTGACCATAGTCTGAAATAAACCACTAATTGATTTAATTATTATTTGATTTAAGGTTTATTTATATTTGCAAATGCCATGCAACAAATATTAATTCCCAGTTGGCATTTTCGGATAGCAACATATGTTTCTGTTAATCACGACCTAAATAAGACTAGCCTTCGATACGAAACCGATGCGAACTCCTAATGAATATCTCCATTTTATGAGTCGTAGTACGGAGATTACGAATTAAGGCGTTTAACAGTAAATTTTAACGTAGCCATGTAAACACTAACAATGCACATGTCAGACATGTTTCGCACGGATATTCTTGAAACCAGCACTAAAATATCAAGGAACTAAACACAAACAACAATTGGTATGCCACTTGACCACTTCTGCAGAATTCGCGAAATGGCGAAGATTTTAAGTTGGCGAAAACGCGTATTTTCACCATGAGAAACTATACAGGGTTCACGGTTTCAAGAATATCCGTGCGAAACATGACTGACATGTGCATTGTAAGTTTTTCATTTACGGTAAATACTTATAGATATGTGCATAACTTCAGCTTTGGTGTTAAACCTCTGCTTACATAAAAACCTTAATCCGCAATCTTCGGAATCATAATTGTAAGGATACATCAAACTATTGAGACTGACAATGGAACCTTTTTTCAATCTCCATCGGGATTGCCTAACGTCAAAAATTAAGAATCAAATGGCTCCATCTTTCCATTTAAGGGTCACATTTAAGAAAAATATTGGGAGGCAAAGTTAACAAAAACTTATATATGTACATACATACATATTTCGCCCGTGAAAGAAAAATGAGAGAAAAATTACTCAAAATTTGAATTTTTCCGCCAGTGCTTTTGTTCAAGGGGCCATTCAACGGAAAGACAAGCGCCACGTGAGTCTTAATTTTTGGCTTGCTTTTTAACGTATGTAACTCGATGGACAGTCCTGGTATAGCTTGAAAAAAGGTTCCATTGTGAGAATACTTATCTATAACATTTCTTTCATCACCTTTAATCAAGTACAATTCAAACTTGCTCAAAGAGTTGAACAGTTGCGACGGGGAGATATCCAATCCCCAGATCCACATGGTAAACATGACACTCACAAAGGTCGGAATCATCGCCATAGACTGCAACTTAACGTCCCTCGATGCATCCCCACTGATCACGTTACGCACCATCCCCGCAACGTACAAGGTAAAAATTATTCTTTGCACGTGCACCACATTTTTCCGTTTCTTCTCCCTAACAAATTCTATTTTGGAACGGGCCGAATTCCAAAAAACTGGCGAACACCAGAGAAAACAACTAATTTTGATGTAGTTGACCAAGTAACTTTTAAAAACTTGGGTTAACATTTCAATTTGCAAGCAGAAATAAATATTTCTATGAGTAGGAATGATTTCAAATTTGTATGTAATGTTCATACATACATGAGCTCTACAATTATTAATCGTTCAGAAAAAAAATAGACGCAAAAAAATCTCAGCCGTCATCTGGCAGTTTTTTGATATACATCAAACAAAATTTGAAAAAGCGTAAAAAATGGTTTCGTCTCTTTTTAAAACTAGCAGCAGAAGTCCCAGTGTTAATGGTAACCTCGGTTCAAAGTGTGGCACATAATGTGTGACGAACATTAAAATTTTTAGTACTCAACAGCCATTCTATTTCTCCGAAAAATGCAACAGTGAAACGTGATTACAAATAATTTCCGGGCTGTATGTACCACGAAGGAACTGTGCAGCAATGTATTTAGTGCGTATCTATGTAAGAGTACGTCTCTAAATGGAGACAAAAACCAGACATGGTAAAATCACTCTAAATTGATACTTCAATAGGTATCAATTGCTGCTTTCTAGGAAAATTGGAATTTTATTAAAAAGTTGCATTTCACATCTACACTTATTCTTGACACGAAGTCATTCCACGTCGGCACCTGCTGTGTCTCAAATTGAATTATGAATGTTTTCTAAAATTTTAGTCAAGGGGATAATATCCATGTCGTCACGTCTTAAATAAGTAAAACTTTGAGCTACGTACATACATACATACATATGAATTTCATGCTGACACAGTGACAAAATAATAATTTTCCTTCTTTATGATTATCCTTGGTTTAACCTCTCATTATCACATACATAGAGGTGTATCAAGATTTCTAAATTATTCAGAATTGCCAGTAAAATTATCCCTGCTGTGTAATTGCAGTGAAAATAAATATATACCAGGAAAGGCTTTAAGGTTCCGAAACAAATTTCTAGAAACAATGCTTATCCTTTTCTCGTTTCAATAGATCAATTTTCGGACTGCTGGGAACGACTAAAAAGTGACAAATATTGACTTTGTTTTATATTTATGTATCGTATCTACTCTATTGTCAACTAATAATTACATGACAGACAAAAATTAATTGTATACGATGCAAAGCTAATTTTGAAAAATATCTATGTATGTAAAACTGTCTATAATGAAAGGTACATATTTATGGATTTACAATGGTCTTAATAAATTATCTAATATTATAAGAATTTGTTTTCGTTTTAAGGTATTCGACATGAACAAACACGAAATTTGTGTTTCGCAAAAACGTGCGTTTTTCATTTCCGCAAAATGCAATAAAAATTTCCCCTATGTACAAATGTACATACATACTTTGTACAACAGACGTACTTTAGGAGTGTGTATGAACTACGATTTTCCAAGTAGCATCAACGACATTGTTTGATTCCAAGCTAAATCTTGATTCACGAGAGGAGTCATCCCATCAATAAAATTATTTCCAAACTTAATTTTTAAAGGAGCGCAAGACCTCAATTCTCTGTGAGCAAGTTTCCTACCAAATCTGAACCTTAATTGGCACCTTAACTTCCCCAGCTGTCCCATAACCCTGCCCGAATTGCCATTGCGATACAATTCCACCAAACAATCGGAAACATGAGATATTGTGGCATCTGGACGACTGAATGTCTCGAAATTGTCACAAAACCTGCAAATATTTGGACAGAAGTGCAGTTAAGTAACATGATTGGAACTAGGGCGGCGGAGAAAATTGCGTTTAACATCCGTTCAACGATCCAGATTTTTCTGTACAGTCTTATGCACGGCATCAGTCTTAATCTTGGTGAAGGG